CCCGCCACGTCCATCCATCCCGGAGCTCCGAACCGGGCACTTTTCTCCGGTTTGTCCCCCCCCAAACCCACTTTCCCCGGCCCCAACCCCCGGTTTTTATACCTACCCCTAAAGCCGGCTGATTTGAAATAAAATAACCATCTCTCCGGGTGTCCCCGCGGTGCATCCCCACCGAAAAAAAAACCCCAAAACCGTGAAATCTCAGCCGTACTTCTCTCTTCCCCGCGCCCAGAGGCTGGATGGGCAGCACCGGGGGTTTAAAACCGGATTTAAAACGGGGGCGAGGAACCGGAGCATCACCCCCTTGGGAGGCTCAGCTCCTCCGCCCCCCCCGAGTGGCCGGGGAGACATTCCGGGGGTACGGGGTGAGCCCCCCGACACCGGACACCGCCCCGGGGGCAACTCCGTCGCTTGCGGAGCCTCGATTTTTTTAATTAGAACCCCCCCTCATTCCCCGCGGTGCATCCCCACCGAAAAAAAAAAAAACAACCCAAAACCGTGAAATCTCAGCCGTGCTTCTCTCTTCCCCCACGCCCAGCGGCTGGATGGGCAGCACCGGGGGCTTAAAACCGGATTTAAAACGGGGCGAGGAACCGGAGCATCACCCCTTGGGAGGCTCAGCTCCTCCGCCCCCCCCGAGTGGCCGGGGAGACGTTCCGGGGTTGCGGGGTGAGCCCAGCCCGGTGCCCCCCGACACCGGACACCGCCCCGGGGGCAACTCCGTCGCTTGCGGAGCCTCGATTTTTTTAATTAGAACCCCCCCTCATTGTATATAAACTCTGGAGAGGCGCTGCCTCCCGCACCCGGGTAGACGCTCTCTGGCCGGTGTGCGGAGAGACAGCACCCAAAGGCACCCTGTAAGTGACTTTTTTTCGGTTTGCTTTTTATTTTTTTTTAATTATTATTATTTTTTATTTCCCCATTACTTCTTTTCTCTTCTTTTCTCTTCTCTTCTTTTCTCTTCTTTTCTCTTCTTTTCTCTTCTTCTCTCCTCTTCTTTCCTTTTTTCTTTTCTCCTCTTTTCTCTCCTCTTCTCTTCTTTTCTCTTCTTCTCTCCTCTTTTCTCCTCTTTTCTCTCCTCTTCTCTTCTTTTCTCTTCTTCTCTCCTCTTCTCTCCTTTTTTCTTTTCTTCTCTTTTCTCCTCTTTTCTCTTTTTTCTCTCTTCTTCCTTTCCTTTCCTTTCCTTTCCTTTCCTTTCCTTTCCTTTCCTTTCCTTTCCTTTCCTTTCCTTTCCTTTCCTTTCCTTTCCTTTCCTTTCCTTTCCTTTCCTTTCCTTTCCTTTCCTTTCCTTTCCTTTCCTTTCCTTTCCTTTCCTTTCCTTTCCTTTCCTTTCCTTTCCTTTCCTTTCCTTTCCTTTCCTTTCCTTTCCTTTCCTTTCCTTTCCTTTCCTTTCCTTTCCTTTCCTTTCCTTTCCTTTCCTTTCCTTTCCTTTCCTTTCCTTTCCCACATTTTTTTTCTTTTTGTCTCTTTCCCTTCTCTCCTCATCTTCTCCCTTTCTCCTCTCTCCCTGTCTCTTCCTTTCTCCTTTTTTCTCTCTTTTCTCTGCTTTCCGCACTTCTCCCCCCATCTTCTCCCTTTCTCCTCTCCCCCTCTCCCTTCC